GATAAAAAAAATAGATTTCACCAATACTATTGGCTGCTTTCCTTATCAGCTTTTTATGTGTTAAAAGGGAGATGAAGTTCTCTCTAGTCCTCTGAAATAATTATAGGCACTTGCCCTAAAAAAGGAATTTCAGGTTCTGGGTCCAGAGCTGGAGGCAGCATTTACTGACAGACATGACAGTTCAGCTGTCACCCTGTGCTCTGCACCTCCTCTAGGCTAGGTCTAAGCAACCCTCTGCTCAGAAGGAACACGTTTACCTTTATCCTACCATGGCATTACAAGTGCAGGCATCTAACTCTGTTTTGAAGACTTCTCCAGGAATCTAAAAAGTTGAGTGATGTAACTGGTTAACTTGCAGCATTCTAATTCTTTCCTTGGAACTGACAGGGAAAAGCTAGGGGAAAAAAAATAATTCTATGGAAGTCAGCCTTAAATACTGAATGACTAATGTTCTACGTAAATATTATTTATCACTATCCTATTACCTCCAGAAAATCAAACTCCAAAACGACATATTTTACAAGAGCTAAAAAGATAACAGTCTGTGGAAAGGATTATATATCTTGCAGCACATACCTAAAATGCTCCCCCCTTTTCTTTTCCTCCTGCAAGGGGTGTACTCAAACTTTCAGCTCTGATTTAGGTGAACATGAAACCTTAGTGGGTAACACCTCAGAGAAAACTTTATATTAGCAAGACAGAAATAGCAGTGTTTTCAAAGCTTCACTAAGTAGTTGGCAGTTTTATTAAAGGAGGTGCTTCCATCCCAAAACTGTCCTATAGCCTATATCAAACATCACATTCTGCAGATACAATAACAGTTTAAGCATTCTGTTTGTAATCATGAGAAAAAAAACTAATATTGGATAATACCTGTTGTTTTTGTCAAAAGCAGCATGTAGAAATGTGTAACAATACACAAGCCATATTTTTCAATTCATCGTGCGCTTATGTAATTTAATGGGGATGTTGTTTCAGAAAGTAAAATCCCTTTGTACAAAAAGGATTTCTTGTTTTTGAGATTAGACCACTACATTTGGTTATTATTGCCAATAAGCAAAAAATCACTTGTGCTTCACTGAACAGAAGGAGCTATTAAGTGAAGCAGCAAGATATATCAAAACACGAAGCCACTCTTCTTCCTCTTAGTGTTCAGATAACACAGTACACAAACCAGCTAACAGAACACAAACACTTGATAAATAGGACTGTTAGACAAGTGGTAAGCAACACATGCAGTAAAGTGGAGCTTTGCATCTTGGAAAACAAGCCCTTTTTTTGCAGCTAATTCTTTTCACCTGTAAGACAAACATATGGTCTGGTGTTCACTGTGCACACAAGTTTTATAAGCAGAACAAAGTACAAGTGTAATACCTTCAAATTAACAAATAGTTAAAGAAAAAGAACATAATGCAACCTACCTGACATATTTAAGCAAGGCAGCACTGATGTAAAGGTTAAACTGCAAATTAGTATCACTAGCTATTTCTTTTGTTGGCAGTGAGTTGTCCTTATTTCTCCTATAATCACATTTTTCCTATTATCTTTAACCCTTACAGGTGTATAAGAAGAAAGCAGCTGGGAAGCTTGGCGATATCAGTCTCAGGATGACTGAGCAGGAGAAAGAATTTGCTGGGAAGACTGCTCGGTACCAGCAAGAAATGAAGCACCTCCAGCGTCTGCTGCAAGACAAACAGGAAACCCTTGATGAAGTGCTGCAGCAGAATAAGTAAGTCAGTCGGAGGCAGAAGCAATCCAATTAGATCTGATGGGTAAAAGGGGTGGGGGGAGGCAGCTCCACACAGCCGCAGGCTCTTGCTTTTCATCTGAGCCTCACATGGTATATTCCAGGTATCTTTTCTCACGTATCTTTTAGCAATACTGAAAATGCTGAAACACTGCTCTTGGTTCCCAGCTCCAAGAAAGAGCTTTTAAAGGAGGAGTTTATTCTGGATGACTACTGCTGTTCTTAAGAATATCAATCTGAGCCTAGTCTTTGATGGTTTGCGAGGTCTATGTATCATCAAGATATATGTTAATTATTTAATAGCACCTTCTACTAAAGGCTGAACACTTTTACCCTCCCCACTCAACAGTGTTCAGAAAGCAGCAGGAAATCAAAAGAATCTAATAAGTATGCATATGATGGGTTTCCTTTTGAATCTACCTTACTGTTCTGTAAGTGACTTAGATTGGCTACATACAGAATAAAAAGAAGAAAAGATAATTTAACAGATTTATACAAGATTATGACTGTCAGTGTTGAAATATTCTTTTAAAATAGAGTCCTTTAAAGGTATTTTCCCCCTCTGGTTGTGGAAAATTTCATAGCACATTCACATTATCAGTATACAGGAAAAGCTTTTTACAACTGAAGAGAGGTAATTAAGAAATCATTTTGCAAGTCACCTCTAACATTGTGAAATAATAGATTTAAAGGCAATGGAAAAACAGGGCTTGGTACCATCTACCTTTATCAGCACAGTTCTCCATTACTTTATACAGTACTATTAAAGAAGTATGAGTAACTGGGAATTGTACACTGAACATCGCACTAATCTATAAAATTTGCATTAAAAAATAGTATTTTGACTACTCTACATTTATCTGGAAATAGTGATTTAGGATTTTTAACTAATTAAGTGCCTTTCATACCTCTGGGCTTATGTTACAGTTATTTACAGTTGAGAACAGCTAGTTAAATTAAGAGGAGTTTTTCAGTGTACAACAGCAAAGTCCCATAATATGGATCATTCAAAAATTTACCTTTCTAGCCCCAAAGTAGGTAAATGAGATGATGTAACACAGCTATGTCATACAACTACACTTTCCATACAGTACAGTAAATCACCTTTTCCTCTCCAGTCTGAAGTGACTCATTTTTTCTTCAGTAACCACACAAAATTAATACTTGCAACTAACTTTTAAGCAGCAAGATTTGCACCTGGAACTACAACATAGTAGTCCATTTAACAATATGATGATGAAGAAAAATAGTTTATGGCAACAAGGACAAGATGAACCTCACAAAGAGATGTCTTTCATTGCTGTAGTCTCCTATGTTAATGAACAGTGTAATTGGTGACTGCCTTTCTCTGGTGGTAGTTAAACCTTAAGGTTTTATTAGAGTGTAACATAATCAACACAACTCTGAAAGTAAAAAGTAATTTTTATGTTCATCTTTCAAGCTGTATTTTGGTTCATCTCATCATCCACTATCTTCCTTTAATAACTATTAAAAACTATTAAAAAAATCTAGATTAAAATGCTACCGATAAGTTAGCTGAATTCTATACCTATATAAGAATATATATTTATTCTTATAAAACAAAATCAGTAAAGTCAACTAACACCATGGCTTATACTGTTCATATAAACTAGTTTTCTCTTGTTCCTTTATGCATCTCAAGTATTGTGGTAATACAGTTTCCCAGGGTAATCCAAATACTTAAGTACTCTGTTATGCCTATCTGCCAGAAATTAAACATGTATTTTGGTCAGCTTTGTGTACTTCTGGTTTTATAAGACTTATTACTTTCTCTCTCCCTTCCATCCACACAGTCACAGGAGTAAGGAAGGGAAAATTATTTGTAGTTGAGATATTGTTAGTCATCTGTAGCTTGGCAACTGAGGTCACTACTGCCAGGACAGTACCAAACATTTACATTTATTTCCACTAGCTTTGTTCATGGAGTAAATTTACAGTCCAGAAAACTGTCTAGCTGATAATGTTTTAATTCAAAACACCTGAATAAACATTAAGGTACAATAATTACTTCGTGTATTACATGCTCTAATTTCAGTGCTTAAGTAATGAAAATCGAAGCAGTATGTCATATTTTAAGCAAGAAAGCCAGTTTAATTTAAAATTTAGGTGAAGGCATGCTGACTATTTGGATAGCTGATTTTGTATTTTATTAAAGTTACAATTTCTCTTTAGGAAAACTATAAACCAAATTAAACTATTTTAAAGGCACAGACCACAGTCAGTCTAGTCAAAAGAAGTGTTAAGTGGGTGATCCCAGAAAACTTTTTCATTTTTGTTTCATAATTGCTCAAAAACAATTTCATAATTGTTTTTGCTCTTGAATTTAGTTTTACAGTAGTGAATTTAGGAAATCATAGCAAGTCTTACTTAGCTCCTGCCATGAAAGTCTTTATCATAAACGTTTATTGTATCTATAGGTGGTGGTAAGTTTTCTTGTAAAACAAGGGAAGACACCACTGAGATCTGGAAGTAGCACTGTTCTTTCAGCGAGATGCTGCAGCAGATAAGCAGCCCCACCAGTAGGACCACAGCAAACCTGACCCGTCACAGGGCAGGACCCTCTTGCCACGGCATGTGAGATGGCACCGATGTGCCCAGAGGTGCACTGCCTGCAGATCACAGCATATTCAGAAGTGATGTTTGTTTAAAACGGTAGCAATATTCATGTGCTTCCTCATTTTCTTCTCTCATCATTCTGTTTTTAACAAGCCTACATCCAAACTAACATGGGCCTCATAAAACATAACAAAGGTGACTTTCCTTTGAAATTTTCTCCCCTTCTGCATCATCTTTCATCTGGTGACAAAAATCAGGGGTTGCACTACTTGTGCAACTCCCACTGTGTCCAAGGGGACAGAATTTTTCCACTTGGTTGTCAAACAGAAATGCATATGTCCTTTCAATAAATAAAAGCTTTTAAAACTTCTGAAGATATGCAGATTTCCTAGAAGCTGCTCTGTACAGCCTTTGCTAGAGAATACTGGAAATTCACAGCAACCTTTTGCCTGAAGCAACTAACAACAAAGCAGTGTCATTTTCTGTTCTTCAGGCAGGTGATAATCATAATGACATTTGTATTGTTTACAGAGTGATCTTATGAGCCATCACTATCACATAGGTTTCCTTAAATGAAATACATCACATGTTCCAGGTATAAACCAAGTTGTTAATGTGGTTCTAGGGTAGAAAACCAGGTTCATAAATGCCTTGTCTTATTTCACGGGACACTTACCTTTATGAGCTTTCTAGGTCACAATGTATTTCATAAGTCTTCTGCAGAGGAACAGTACTTCTAGACAGTGCAGCTGCTGTACTGTGGATGTTAACTGCAGGTTTGAAAGCCTCAGTAATGAGCCTCAGACTGTCCTCAGAAGAGGGTCAGCAGTAGAAAAGCTTCCCAGCCATGCACAGGCCAGGGAGAGGAGCTGTCTTACTTGTAAGGTTACATACAAAAGTGTAACCATGAGAAAACTGTTGATCTTTATGATAAGGATTAAAGTAAACTGCTACAGATTAAACGAAAATTAACTCCAGCAGCCCAGATAAGATTCTTGGAGATTATGGCTGAATTAATTTATGTCAGTGAGGGCAGAAAGCTCTGTCTTTTGTAAAGAAGAATCTGCTTTCAGAATCTGTTTCTGTTAACTTTTTCGTCCTCAAACATCAGTACAGCATTGGCATTTAGCTTGCTCTCAACAAGATACAAAACCTTACGTTTTGGCTAGGTTAGGGGTTGAGCGGAATTTTTATTTTTACTTAAGTAACAACAGCCTACATTTACAAGAAACAAACTTAATGCTTTTTGCCTAAAGACATCTGGAAACAGGACACATCTACTACTGAGTACGTATCTAGTTTTAAATGCCAAGTGACAAAGACTCGTGTTCGAAGAGGTGAACCAGCTGCTGTGGGCACAATAGAATAACAACGGTTACCTATTCACCTGTGACCTGTATAAGGTAATGTCACAGTGGTCACAGTCAAGGATAATAACGCTTTGCGGAGCTTGAGGGAATTTCTGGTGACATCCAAAAAAAAAAAAAAAAATCTAAGAGAAGGGTAGAGGGCCATTGCCCGGTGAAGCAGGAGCAAGGCAATTTTAGTGCTGAGAAAAAGGTACAAACCATCAGCAGCTATGGTAACTAAGCTGCTATATAAAATACAAGTTCCTAAGACAGCAGGGAGGTTGTGACTAGCAAGAATAAAAGACACCCCTTCCTCAACCTATTCTTCTGTATTTACTTTTAGATTTTGATGAGGTCAGAATTTTAAACCAAACAAAATGCAGAGGCAAAGCTCCGTTGTCTAACTCCAGTTGGATCTTAATTGCCACTTCTTGAACCTGACAAACAGCTGAACTATAGAAGCAGGACATTCTGCCATGCTGAAAGGCCTTACTGATGACTGCAGCATACCCTGTGCAAGGCCAGGGGCGCCTGCAGCGTGCTGAGTGTGCTGCCCTGACAACAACATGCTTTGACTGCTCATTCCAAAGCGAAGTCAGCCAGCACTTTTACAGTCTGCATCTCTCAGCTCTATTTAAAAATTAATCCTCCAAGAAGCATTCAGATCCAGCACTACTTCTGAAGGCATCTGTTTCCTTGCTACTGAAGTAATTTTAACCACATGGATACTTTTAAAACTAATCTCTTTGAACTGTTTTTTCTAAAATCGATCGTTGCCATTGAACTGAATGTATGGACTGAAAATGAGTATCCCATTTCTCAAGCATGCCAACAGCATTAAACTACAATTCGGAACTCTCTGACTCAGTTTCGTCTTCTAATTCCAATTTTCTCTGCCTCAAGCTCATACAACCATTAACAATGAAACCATTTCTTAAAAAAAGTCTTGGTTTTAGAAATTCACAGATGAAATAAAGCCCAAGTAACATTCTGCACTACCATAAGTGTAAATCAGATTAAGTTCTTGTGTATTAATAGTAGAACATGAGTGCTGTGCACACTGCATGCAGACTCTAATCGGAGAGGCAGCAACAGAGAGCAGGAGCTTGTCCTTATCACGATATAAAAGTTCATTTAAAAATAAAACAAGATGCTGAAAATGTTCCAAGATCACAATACAAAGGGCCACAGTCAACCAATGGGTGAAACTCCAGACTTGCTGGGGGAGCTAAGTCATGTAATTTTACTCTCGATGCCTCACATGCCCCAAAATGTAAGCTGAGGATAATGATAATTGCCATTGTAAAGTACTTTGAAGCATATACTGAGCAACTAGTATTACTAGACACTCTTACCACTGGCTCAAGGAGAAATATACTTTGTGAGAAAAAAAAGTCCTCTTACAGTTTTGGTGTTTTAAAAGTGAGAGCTTGCTTCTCAATGGCTTTTTAGAGACTTGGCAGAAATGGAAAGGCCCAACTCATTAATGTGGCTTCTTATGTTCTTGGGCAGAGGCCTGGGCTACTCTCAGCAACTGTACTGCTTTCACCTGCCTTCCTTGGCTTTAATTCTATTCTTAATGGTTAACGATTGTCTCCACCACCAAAAGTTTATTCCAAACAATATATACAAGGATAATCTTAGGACCTTCTCAGTAAGGCTTTTTTTCATTTTCCATCTATATATCCAGTCATAAGGTGAAACACAAAATGAGCTAGTACTATGTCTGGGCTACTTCCTACTCAGTGTTACTGATCACAAAGGGCTCTGTAAGAAGTACCAATTATATATTTCTCCCATACACCTTCTGCCAGAAACATAGCCTGACAGCATTTAATCTTAACACATTTATGTTTTGCATTGATTTGCTTCTCATTTTTAGAGCCTAGTATTCAGGACAATTTGTGTAAAGGGCTCGCTCTGTCAACTGCTTCAGGCAGTGACTTGAAGTGACCGTGTTAGAGAAGTCGATACCATTAAGATTTGTGTGTTCATTTTCTATGGAATAATTTTCCTTTCCACTTCAAATGATCTTAGTTTTCTGATTATTTTGTATTTTGACATATATTTGAAGTGAGTCAGAGGAAACCCAAGAGCTTAACCTTGACCAAATATAACCTACTAAAAAGTCTGTGGCTGGAATATACTGCATTATTAAATCATGTTAGCTGCCATGTTTGAAAAGTAACTTTCTTCTTCAGAAAAACATTAAATAATTCATTTATTTATGCTTGGGCAGTCAGAGAAAATGGCCCATGAGGTTATAATGCCTTGAGGACTGTCCTTCACTATCTTTGCTCCCCATCCCCCTGCCCCCCAAAAAAAACCAACCAAGTTTACACCACTTCTGCTTGAGCTCCACGAGGAGGCATTAGCTGAGCGAAGTCTGACACTCGGTTTGATCAGGCATTTTGAGCCCGGGCTGGGAAGATGTGGAACTCCCGGGACCCGGCAGCAGGGGCACACCTTACAGACACACCTGCTGCAGGAGGCAGAACTGTCACGACTCATCCCGAGTCAGTGGGCAGTGGGAGTCACAATGCTTGGATCTCACACTGCTCTTCTGTGTGGACTTAATCTCATTTACTACACGGGTCCAAATCTTTTTTTCTCTTACACTTAGTGGGCTTTTTGAAAAACAAAATAGGAATGAATTTCAATCGGATAATTTCAAGCATCTAAATAACATGCAGTTTATAATTTAGTTGTCCACTTTTCAGCAGTATGTAGTTAAAGTGTTTTTAAAATTAGGATTTATCTTTGTTTTTTTCTAGGAAAGTGGAAGGGGAACTTGAAATCATTTGGGAAGCAACATCTAAAGAAACCAGGAGAATGAGAGAACTCTTACATAAATCCCTGAGGAAGAACGACATGTGGGATACTGTCACAGTTCATGAGCCACACTTAGATGAAAGCCCTCAGAAGGACCTAGTTTACGGACATGATTTTAGCTACTGTGATGTGAAAGCTTCATCCCCTACTACAAATGAAATTCAACAAGAATCTCAGTGATAAGAATAAAACCACATTAAACATCTCATCCAAGAAAAAGAACTCAGTGCCTGAATTTGACTTTTTCAACAACACAAGATGGAACATTTACCCTCTTAAAAATTACTAAGTTATTATTGTCATCAAAATGACAATAGCATATTCTCCAGCTATACTGTCAATAACGTGAATCTAACCTAAAATGTGGCTTTTGTTTTTTTGAAGAAAAGGCTATTCCTTAAGGCAAAACATGGTACAGCTCTAAATTAACACAAAGTGACAAGTATCCAAAGAATAGTAAGCCTGCCATTCTAGCACAGACACGTACCTTGCCACAAAACAAGTGAACAGCAAGACAGAAAGCCTCCAATATGTTAAAGAATGTGTCTGCATTATATATGTTTTAATTAAAAGGACAAATGTCCATAAGTTCTCCTCAAATCACCACATAAAGTATAGATGGAATATGGTCAAAGTTGAAAAAGTGTTGTCTGCTCTCATTGCTGGTGATGAAACGTCTTGACTTCCCAAGATGCAAGGATGTCCTCATGCCAGATTGTCTGACAAAAATCTTGTCATCTCAAAGACAGAGAAAAATTTGCCTGTGAAGCAAACACAACAGACACATCTGACTGTGGTACCTGAACGCTGTCCACTAAGTAGATTGACAGGAGCCCAGGCAAGAGTAGGTTACCTGCCATAGTTTTGGCAAGGGGATGAGATGCCAGCAGAGGATGCACCCCTCCTCCAGACTGTTTTGTTCATCCCACTTCAGATGCCACTTTGTTTTCCCCAGAAGCATTATCTGCAGCAGTGCCAGCCTTTACTTTACTATGATGCATTTGTCTTATCTTTCATAATTGTTGATTTTTAACAGTATTGCACATGAACTTTGTAATAGTACATGTTGGTAATGAAGTGACTTTATTTTGGAATTACATATAACTTGTTGGATCAAGTTTCTGTTTTTGCTTCATTTCTATAACAAAATCTCAATAGTAACAAAAACTAACGATACAAAAAAACCTGTAACTATCATAAGTTGTATAATACTAGAAATAATGAAGAATCTCTTTGGCTTTGATCAAAGTTAACAGTTATATACACCAAAAAGAACACACACTGTTCATGTCTAGAAAGCTTCCCATTTCCTGAGGTGTTTTCCTTCAGGGTAAGGCCATGACTCAGCAGCAGAGGGTTATTTAGGAGAGGGTGGGGAGGGCACCTCCTATCACACCACGATTTTCAGTGTTGTGTATGTGTACTGTTTTTAAAGCCACCTTCCACAATACAGCAGAAAGCCAAAGACTCTACAGACTACTTGCAAAATCTTTGTGCACTCAGATACCACCCTGATGAGAGACAAAACATCAAAGTAGCAAAGTCAAATACATACAAGTTCTACCATCAGTGGGATTTTAATATGTACTTTCGTTACTTTTCTGGGAATGAAACAAGTGCAGCAACCTTACCAGCTCATCAAGATAAAACTTCAACATGACCCATTAAGACTGACTAACAAAACTAGCACTATTATTTTATGGTCCCCTGCTAGGTAGTTAACAAGAAGAAGTACATCTTCGAATTCTTTCCTACTTAAAATCCACATTTGTCAGAGAAACCTCTGGCAAAGAAAAACGTATTTCACAGCACTACATTTGCTAGGAACCAAATGCAGCCTTTTTACCATCCTTGCAAATATTTTTTTTTCCCCTGATACAAAAGCTGACTAAAAGCAGCTAAAGAAACGCCTACTCATTAAAAATAAACCTGCATGTCCCTACCAAAGGGAAACAAATATTTTTATGATGTTGAAGTGCTTGGGTGATAAGATAT